GAGGTTTTTTTTTAATAATTAATAAAACATATAGTCCACTAGCTAGACCAATAAGGAAAAAAGAGAGAAGATCCATATAAATGCAATTAGAAGTCATGATGGGAATTTTACTACTGACACCACAGAAATAGAAACACCCATCAGAAACTACTACAAACATCTCTACACACACAAAATTTAAAAACCAACAAGAGATGGATAAATTCCTGGACATATATATGCTCTCAAGACTGAGCCAGGAAGAAATTGGTTCTGTGAACAGACGAATAACATGCTTCAAAATTGAATCTGTAATAAATAACCTCCCAACCAAAACAAACCTGGGACCTGTTGGATCCATAGCTGAATTTTACCAGATGTATAAAGAAGAGCTGGTGTCATTCCTACTGAAACTATTCCAGAAAATTAAAGAGGAGGGAATCCTCCCTAACTCATTCTATGAGCCATCATCATCTTGATACTAAAGCCTAGAACAGACAAAACAAAAAAAGAAAACATTAAGGGCCAATACCCTTCATGAACATCAGTGCAAAATTTCAGAACAAAACACTTGCAAATTGAATTCAGCAAGATCAAGTAAGCTTCATCCTGGGGATGTAAGGTTGGTTCAACATATTCAAATCAACAGATATGATTCATCACATAAACAGAACTAAAGACAAAAACCACTTGGTTATTTTAATGGATGCAGAACAGGTTTTTGATAAACTTGAACACACCTTCATGTTAAAAACTTTCAATAAACTAGGCATTAAAGGAACATACCTTAAAATAATAGGAGCCATCTATGATAAACCCACAGCCAACATTATACTGAATGGGCAAAGGCTGAAAGCATTCCTCTTGAAAACTGGAACAAGATAAAGATGGCCTTTCTGAACACTTCTATTCAGCATATTATTGGAAGCCTGGCCAGAGCAATGGGTCAAGTAAAAGAAATAAAGGGCGTCCCAGTAGGAAGAAAAACAGTCAACATATCTCTGTTTGCAGGGGACATGATTCTGTATCTAAAAAACCCTATAGTCCCAGCTGATAAACGACTTCAGAAAAGTTGCAGGATACAAAACTAATATACAGAACTCACAAGCATTCCTATACACCAATAACAGCCAAACTGAGAGCCAAATCAGAAAGGCAATCCCATTCACAATTGTCACAAAAATAATAAAACACCTAGGAATACATCTAAGCAGGGAGGTGAAAAATCTCTCTGATGAGAATTACAAAACACTACTCAAAGAAATCAAAAAAGATATAAGCAAACCGAAAAACATCCCATGCTCATAGATAGGAAGAAGCAATAACATTAAAATGGTCATGCTGCCCAAAGCAATTTACAGATTTAATGCTATTCCTATCAAACTACTTTTTCACAGAACTAGAAAAACCTATTTTAAAATTTATATAGAATCAAAAAAGAGCCAGAACAGCCAAGGAAATCCTAAGCTAAAAGAAGAAAGCTGGAAGCACCATGTTACCCAACTTCAAATCACACTACATCACTACAGTGATCAAAACAGCATTGTATTCATACAAAATCAGGCATTCAGACCAGTGGAACACAATGAAGCACCCAGAAATAACGCTATGACCATCTGATCTTCAACAAAGCAGACAAAGACAAGCAACAGGGGAAAGATTCTCTAGTCAATCAATGGTACTGAGATAACTGGCTAGCCATATGCAGAAGACTGAAACTGGACCCTTTACGTATAACATATACAAAAGTCAACTCAAGATGGATTAAAGATTTAAATGTAAAACCCCAAATTATAAAAACCCTGGAAGACAACTCAAGCAATACTATTCTAGACACAAGAATGGGCAAAGGTTTGATGACAAAGACACCAAAAGCAATCACAACCAAAGCAAAAATTGACAAGTGGGATCTAATTAAACCTAAAGGCTTCTGCAGAGCAAAAGAAACTATCAACAGAGTAAACAGACAACCTACAAAATGGAAGAAAATATTTGCAAACTATGCATCTGACAAAGGTCTAGTATCCAGCATCTGTAAGAAACTTAAACAAATTAACAGAGAAAAACAAACAACCCCATTAAAAAGTGGGCAAAGGACATAAACAGACACTTTTCAAATGGAGATATACATGCAGCCAACAAGCATATGAAGAAAAGCTAAATATCACTGATCATTACATTTTATGGTATTATTAGATTTTGTGATCATTAGATTTGTGGTAAATCAAAACCACGATGAAATACTATCTCTCACCAATCAGAATGGCTATTACTAAAAAGTCAAAAAGTAACATGCTGATGAATTTGCAGAGAAAAGGGAACACTTATACACTGTTTGTGGGAGTGTCAATTAGTTCAACCATTGTCAAAAGCAGTATGGCAATTCCTCAGTTAAAAGCAGAACTACCGCCCAACAATTCTATTATTGGGTATATACCCTGAGGAAGAATATTATTCTATGATAAAGAAACATGCACATAAATGTTCATTGCAGAGCTATTAATGATAGCAAAGACACAGAATCAACCTAACCACCCACCAATGACAGATTGGATGAAGAAAATATGGTACATATATACCATGGACTACTATGCAGCCATAAAAAAGAACGAGATCATGTATTTTGTAGGAACATGGATGGAGCTGAAGACTATTATCCTTAACAAACTAATGCAGGAATAGAAAACCAAATACCGCATATTATCACTTATAAGTGGGAGCTAAAAAATAATAACTTACAAACACAAGGAAAGAAACAACAGATACTAGGATCTACTTGAGAAGGGGCAGGAGGAAGAGGAGCAGAAAAGATTGCTGTTGGGTACTGAGTCTAATACCTGGATGATGAAAAAATATGTATGACAAAAATAAATAAAATTTAAAAAAGAAACTCAGCTCACTTGCTTTGTGATCTTAGGTAAATAATTTAAACTCACTGAGCTACAGATTGTTTACTTTAAAAATGAAGACATTGTCCATAAGGCTGCTATGAAGATTAAATGAAGTGTATATAAGACACTTAGCACCGATGGCTAGTACATAAAAGATACTTAATATATATTGGAGCTTTTCCTCAACAAAGAACCTACAAATGTTTACTCAAAATGATTTGGCTTCAAGGCACTTTTAAAATCCTTTTCTTCTTTCATCTGTACATTCCCACAAAACCAGGACACAAATTTTATTATTTACATGGTACTCCTTTTAGGTTCTAGGAATGTATTTCAGGAGGCAAGAAATAGATGATCATTTACAGAATACCAAGATATATTTCCAATGTTGTTATCCCTTCTATCTTCATTATATGTGCAGGGCTACTCTCATATCATAATTTGTTTATAAATATTTAAAGTAAAAAATTCATTAACTTCCCCCTCAAAGCCTGAGTGCCTTCTCAAGTTTTCTGAGTTAATTATACCATCATCCAGCCTATCACCCAAGCTAGACATGAATCATCCTAGACTACCATCTTACCCTCTACATTTAATCAATTACCTAGTGTGATTAACTCTAATTACTGAAGCACTCAGAACCTTTTCTCCAATCGGCTGAATTTGCCTTCAGGCCTCAGTATATCTCCTTTGAACTGCAGCAACTGACATTCCTTCATTTCATTACCTTCCGCTATCTACCCTCCAGGAAATTTTTTTCAGAACATTTACTCAGTTCCTTAGCAGAGGCTCCTTTCACCTATAGACATTTCTTCAAAAACAAAACAAAATCATATGTGATGGACAACATATAAAATTCTAACTGAGGTAGAAGTGTGGAGCATGGAAGTACTTCCTCACTTCCATGTCAGCCAGTAAGGGGAGTCCTGAAAGACACTTTGGAAACCCGTGGCCTACAAGGAAAAACTTCAACTGCTTAACATGGTAAATCAAAAACTGGTTTCACAAGCTGGCTTTTCCCTCCCTTTCTATTCCAACCACATCGCCTATAAGCCTTCTACCTTAAATCTCTCCTCTTCTACCTGTACTCTTCTATCTGCCTGGAATGCTCTTCCTCTGATTCTCCGACTGTCCAATGCTCAGCCTACAAAATACAGCTTCAAAGTTTCCATCTAATTGAGCATTACCCAACTTACCCAATTGATATAGCTGCTTCCACTTATGGGATATCATAGCACCTTTTATGTACTTGTATTGTGGCCTCTATCACACTTCAATGCAATTACTAGTTTACGTTCTGTTCTCCCCAGTTATAGTGTGGCAAGGACCACTACTCATATATTTTTACAATGCTTAGGAATGAGTGTCCAGAACACAACAGATGCTTTATTAGTGTTCATATCATTACATATAAAGATTTCATTGTCATTAAATTCACTTTCTATGACATAATAGCTTTAATGATTTTTAAAGATTCAATTACAGAAACATTGAACTTATTTTTAAGTGTTTTTGTATATGCTTAGCTACTTTTTTTAGGGACTCAACAAAGTTCAGTGCTAATTTATGACACTGGAATTTTACCAGTTTTTCACAGTGCTCAATTCAAAGCACTATGACATAATCCAGGACAATGACCACCTGCACCTTCTTTTTTAATCCTAAGGCTCCTAAACCAAGGATGCATTGTAGGTTTACTTTTTAACCTAGAGTTAACTTGGACAACATAAATGGATGCCCAGAACCCCTGGAAACTAAAAGAACATTACTGAGACCTAAGTCTAAGTATGCAGGAGTGCTGCACCCTATGGGAGGGAGACTTTGAGATGATGCTGTTTGAGCCAGTGCCTCCATTCCTGCCCCCAGCACACAAACATATACAGACATACAAACAATAAGGCCTTGAAAGGGATTTTCTGCAAGAGTATGACAATTTTTTAAATCACCTCCATTTGATTTGTCGCTCAAGTAACAAAACTTGTTTTCATGAACACTCAAAAAATTCAATAATGTAACCTCTAATAGAGCTTGAAAAGCTCTGAAGGACAAGCTACTTAGATCAATATTGGTTTATTTCAAATGCTTGGCAGTACCAAGAGACATGGCTGATCATCAGACGGATTTTATTACCTGTCGGAGTGATAAGTCCTGGCGATAAGAGGCCTGGGACTGCATGGGGCAGAAGGCGGGCATTTTCCTGCAACACTCCCAAAGAACGCTTAGGGGGCCTGCCAGGTCTTGAACTGTTGAAAAACAGACAAATATAGACAAGGTTAAAAATGTACTCTTTCTGAGAATACCATCACTTGCAACATTTACTTTTTAAATCTTATTTAATTGCCAAAAGTGGTAGAATTTTCCATTAAAGACTATTTTTGTGGATTACTAAGAGACTAATTCTTTCCTTTCCTCTCAATTTCCCAACAGAGTTATGGCAAACATTAGCCCCATAAGGGATCAGTTTTAGTTTAGATTCCATTTACAGGCCAGCACTTTGCAATGCAGCTCACCTGTTGTGTCAGAAATCCTGTTACCACTGCTTTTAAAGCTACACTTGATCTGAAGTATTAATAAGTGCTTCTGAGAGCTGAGACAGTGACTCACAGAATTAAGATCATATAAAATGTGAAGTGATTAAGTCTCTTCCCAGCATGCTAGAGGTGAATGGTAAACAGCTGAGAGATGTCGATTAGAAGCTGATGTTTTTAAGCATTTCCACAGCTGCTGGGAGCCCGTGAGGAAGAAAGGATTACCACCCTCAGTAGGTTTTTTTTTCCTAGGTATTTTTTAAACCCAGCTGTATAACCAGCAGTGTTCGGTCTTGGAGTAGCTATACTAACAAACCTGCCACCTTTGCAATCTAGGATGTCTTTTCTCTCAGATTGATTGGTGTTTTTAACAAATGAGTTGATGCTAAACTTATAACACTAACCTAACCCACTGCATTTGTACATTCTTCACCCATGAGCAGTTCAGAAATTCTAATTGCAAATGCTAATTCATAAAATAATGAAATAAAAAGTCAGTATCTGTTGCCTCCATCTTGTACCCTAATAGAGTTAGGGTACAAAAATATCATTTTAAAGCTGTCACTACATGACAGACTTGTAAGTCATAGAACATTAGGATCAAGTTATTCTCAAGTCACCCAATATATTTGAAATATTACTTTCTAACGTTGCCTAAGATATTGCTGTTGCCTTTTAGTAGAAATGCATTTCACAAAGCTGAATGATATGAGTTTTGACAAAATATTGCAAAATACTATATTAAATAACTTTAACAGCAAAAATATATGAGGTTCAAATAGAGAACATACCCCAAAATGACTTTTAGTTTACAAAGAAATTTAAGTTGAACCTCACTCTATCAACTGTGCAGTAGCAAAATGCTCCATCAATGTAAGACAAACTCTGCTTTTAAATAAAAAACAACTTCTAGCAACCTTACATGGAGGTATCATTACCTAGTTCATTTTTCATACACTGCGCTAGTGTTATTTTCTTCCGTTGCACATCAATATTATATATCAATACAGCACAAAAGATTCTGTTTTTCTCATTTAATGTTTCTATTTTATAAATGGACTCTCCTCTCCTTTCTACTTGATTCTGGGCCATAATTTATTTTCTTTAATTCAGTGTTTTTACCGTTTACCTTTTTATGGCTTTCTGACTCTTTTAAGGAATGCTGAAAACAGAAATATCCTAGTTACTTTGAATGTCCTTAAGGATCCCAATATCACTGAAAAATGTTCATCAGAGTATATCCAGGCATCAGAGAAAAGCACATTGTTTTATTGAATAAACTTCACCAAATCTATACTGTCTAAATGTTTTATTGTGTCCTTCCATTTGTCAGAACTCAAGCCTACTAACTTTATTTAAACACACCTGATTACTCTTTGTATTTTTCCACTGTAAACATTTCAGTGCTATCTCCATTCTCATGAACACTTTCAGACAGGCTGCCTCCAGGACTAAGCAGCCTGATGCTCGCTCTACTTCCATGTGATGAGCCATATGACTGCCAGCAGTTAAAAGTACACTTTGAAAGCTACAAGGTTTAACTAGCCTGTTCCAAATTTTTTGGTCAGTTCTCACTATCTGAAGCAACTCTTTTTCAATAGACTGACCCACGCTTGGGAAGCATTAGAGGCCTCTTAGTCTAGAGGTTTTACCTTAAATGTGAAGATTTGAAAAAAATTGGTTTCACAGCTTATTTCACAAATGGCTTTGTACTGTCTATTTCCATATGTTATGAACTCCAGGAGAGCCATATTCTCCATCCTAACATTCATCTCAGTTCATAATTTTATGTTGGTGGTATGAATAATTCTGATATATTGTGAGAATCTAGAACAGGTTTTGCCTTTGAGGAGCTTGTGGTCTAGTTATTTGTAGTCTGTAAAATAAAATAGGCCTTTTTTAAAAGTTCCCACCCAAATGGCTCTGCCAATATATCACTCATGTACACTGTAAAGGTAAATTGTTAAGGCACAAGGCAAACAACCCCATAAAATTGTCAAACTTACTATATAGCTCAGCTAATTTAATTAATAATAATTAATTTGATAGCTCAGCTAATCTCCCCAACTAGAATATAAGCTACATCAAGGCAGCATACATGACTGGTTTTGTTTGTTACTGTATCCTAAGCAATTCTCATGGATTCCAACAGACAGTAAGGTCCAGTAAAACGTTAATTGTCAATTAATTAATATACATAGGAAATATTCTTTCACTGTTGATACAGTTTCCAAATATTCCTTCAATAACTCAACTCACCTGTTGTGTGAGCTGTTCTTTGACCACAAGAACAGAGAGCCAGTTTCATTATTTAATCATAACATAATTATTTTTTTAAATCTTGAACTCCACAATAACTATAGGAGCTTCATAATACGATCTACTCAAATCTGACTATGTATAAGGGTAAAGAAGGCTATGGATAGATGCCACTGTCTTATTCTCTTAAAAGCCCTACAGGCTTCAAGATCTGCTTAAGGACTAAAGGCCCCTGCAGTCACACATATGCAGTAACAATGTCACTTATTCAGTCATCTAGTAAACAAACATGCACTAGGTACCCATTTAGCATGTGTGTGGTATAATGCTAGGTATCAGCGACACAGGGGGTAAAATGTAACCTCAACAAGGGCAAGGGTTTTGGTTTGATCTTTTTCATTGATATAGTGCGAGAACCTAGAACAGGTTTTGCCTTTGAGGGGCTTGTGGTCTAGTTATAAAGATGTGTGTTTGCCCTGTTATTTAAAATTTCTGATTGATCCTTTAATGAGTATGGTTGTATGATACCTGCTTCTAAAATTGTTTACATTTATCAGTGATCAAAAATCACATTCAGATTTCTTTGTTTTTAATTTTGGAACAAAGACTTGGGTCCCTAGAGTAAATTAATTGAAACAAAGTTTGTGAACGTGCTTTATAGTCAATATATCTACATAAAAATTTAAGACAGATTTATTCTGACTCTTAGACCTACTAATTCTCTGTAAGACATTCCTGGATTTCATTTTAAGGAACACAAACCTGACAACATGGTGAAAGATTGTGGAGAGCTCTGTAAAAATTTGGGAAGAATCTTTCTTGATAGATGCTCTGGCCATACTTCTTATCTTTAAGAGGTTTATTAGCATCAGGCAGATATTCACATATTAATCAAGGCAAATAACATGTGGTGGTTTAACTAGGTAACTTATTTGGATGGCAATTTAATCAGCATAGGTTGAAAGGTCCATCATTGTAGCATCCTGTTTCTACGAAGATGTTGATTGCGTTACTGATCTCAGTAATGCTTTATTTTACAGGGCACGAATAACCATGTAATTACTCTTTAATTAAATGATAATTGCTTCTTGGCGATTATTTGTTTTCAGTTTAATTACAAGGTTATTTGTAGTCTGTAAAATAAAACAGGCCTTTTTTTAAAAGTTCCTACCCAAATGGCTCTGCCAATATATCACTCATGTACACTGTAAAGGTAAGTTGTTATGGTACAAGGCAAATTACCCCTTAAAATAGCCAATCTTATTAAATAGCTCAGCTAAATCATGGAGAGATTCAGCTTTATAGAATTCACATTAAGTGTAATATTTATAGATTATTTAAAGGGAAGTTACACCAAATAATCAAAATTTCTGTGGGCCCAGGTCATCCTTTAACATAACTTATCCTCATATGATTTCCCCTTCATTCTGTAAACTTCTTTAGAAGAAATGAAATACGTGCCCAGCTTCCTGAGATTGAAGAATAAAACAACTTAAAATACCTAACAGTACTCTATTTCTGCAGTTGAAGCAGCTTGCCATCAGAGCATGGCCTTTAAGTTTATAAACTTTGTAGAGTTGCCAATTCCCTAAGGGAGACTTTCAGTAGGCCTTCTAATGTCAATAAGATAGGATATATTCTATATCTATTCCAAGTTCTGCAATAGACAAAGCAGCTCATACGTTGTTCATTAAGATGATTAAATTTGCCTGTTGAATTTATTTTTATTTTATATCATCAGCTATTTATGATTCAAGGTATAAGCAACTAAGATGAGTGATTTTGTTGCTCCAAAGGAAAAAAAATCTAGTTAATTAATTAATAATGTCATAAGCCTTCAAGATATTTAATATAAACCACATGAGCAGTCCTTGATTTAATAAGGAATCATAGGTTATGCCATCCCTTCAATGAAAGCTTGTCTTCCTACTTCTTAAAGAAATACTTATAACATCCAGAGACAGTCTGTGAAAATTGCTGAGAATATAGTAGTAGTTAAGGGTGGTATTAACAGCAACTTGTAAAAACCACTGCAATTGCATTCTTGACGTGAAAGCCATTACCAATGACCTGGGATTTACTTTTCAGAGTTATTACTGATATTTAAAATCCCTTGAGATGGTCCCTGAATGTGTCATTGTTCAGCACACGTTAGAAGCCAGAAAACCAAAAATGGCATTGGCTTTGAAGGTGTTGTTTACCTGCCTAGGAGAATGCTGCTCTGAGTTTCAATGTGCATGTTATATTAAATAATAGTATCTTTATTTTGCCAGAACAGTAAGATTTCCAACTGCTGTGTGGATTAATAATAATCTCTTAGGTCTGACATTTATTGCAACATTTCAAGGATGCCAATGGTAGCTAAACTCTACCTGACCTTCCAGTGTTTATGAAGAGAAACAAACTCTGACCTCACAGCAACCTGAATCCATCTTTTCTGTGCTGGCAAACCGATC